TCATATCGTCTCACAGGTCCTGGGGGGAGCAGCTGCCGCAGTGGTGGGACGGGCAGCGTGTGGCTGTGTGAGGCTGCCAGCACCCTGCCCACCCATGGCACCCCCAGCCTTTATCAGTCCCGAGCGAGCAGCTGGGGAGAAGGCTGGACCATGCTCCACCCAGCATGGTGGGAGGCCAAGGTTGTGGTACCAGCATGCCTGAGAGCAGGCGCCGGGAGTGATGCAGAGCCACCCGGCCTGCCTGGCAGCACGTGCTGCCGGGGTGATGTGAGGCTGCCAGCACCCTGCCCACCCATGGCACCCCCAGCCTTTATCAGTCCCGAGCGAGCAGCTGGGGAGAAGGCTGGACCATGCTCCACCCAGCATGGTGGGAGGCCAAGGTTGTGGTACCAGCATGCCTGAGAGCAGGCGCCGGGAGTGATGCAGAGCCACCCGGCCTGCCTGGCAGCACGTGCTGCCGGGGTGAGACGTGGCTGCCAGTGGCATGCCAGCAAATCCCAGCCCAGCCGGAGCGCTGTGGGTGAGCCGTGGCCCTGCTTGACCCACACCAACACGTGTGCTGTGGGTGCGCTGCCAAACCCAGCTGCAGATCATGCACCGGGCAGGTCACAGTTAGCCCAGGTCGGGCTGCCGGAGCACATCGCAGCACCACGGGCAGCTGCGGATAGGGTCCCTGCCGAGCTCCCCTCCATTGGCACCACAGGGGCAGCCAGCATCCCCCTCCCACACTGGAAAGAGCCTGCCATGTCCCGCTCCCAGTCAGCCACGGCTCCACATTGTGCACGCTGACGTCCCATCCCACCGCTGGCACCACCATGGAATGGGGAGCAGCACCCGCAGAGCCACTCACCCGCTTCTTGTAGTAGATCCTCCACTTGTGGTACTCCCTCATCACCACCTCGATGCGGCGTTTCCAGTAGTTGCCCTCCAGCACGACAGCCTGGGGGGGCAGGACAGGGGGTCACAGCTGAGCCACCCAGCCCCATCACCCTGCAGCCAGGGCTGGTTTCCTTATGCCACGTCAGAAACACCTTTCCCAGCAAATCTATGAAATAAAATGAGCTCTGCCCCCTGTGTGTCCCCAGCTCCCACCTGTGCCACCCAGACCTGCTCCTGGCCCAGAAAGCTGCGATGAACCATGCCCTACCTCTGGTTTTCGGTGCTCATCAGCCTCCGATCCCTCCAGAGGAGTGATGAAGCCACACACAGGGTTCTTCCTCCGCTCCACATCTACACAGGGGAAAACACAGCTGGTTTTACCCACGTCTCCATCCCTGGGCAGGGGAGGGTGCCTGGGCACCCATACATCGCTGCCTTGGTGCCAGCCCCATGGCACTCGACATTGCCCAGCACTTGGCAGACGGAGCGGGGTCTGGCCCCATACTCACACTGGATGTACCACGCTCTCCAGATAGCGTTGTTGAGACGGATTTTATCCCGGCAAAGCAGCCGCAGCCCCTTGAAATTCTTCCACTTTGGAGACACCAGCTTCCCACTAAAACACCAAGCAAAAGAGAGGCTGAGGGGCACCATCCCAGAGCCCTCCCAGTTCGGGGTCTCCTGAGGGGGCCGTGCCTTGAGAGGTGCCCGGGGCCACCAGCCTGGTGGCAAGTCTGGAGCAGGTGCAGCTGTGTGGCTCTGCTGCAGGCTGCTTGTCTGGCACCCACGGGACCACCCACGGGAGCACCCTGAGCTCCTGTTCACGCTGAGAGCAGCACAGACCTAAACCGGGAGCTTCATAGACCCACACGAGGCTTCTCGAGCCCCTGGGATTAAAGCACAGCACATGGAGGAATTGATTCATTGAGGCTCGAACCCTGGGTCCGAGGTGGGACCCCGCTGCCCCCAACCAGGACGGCTGCATCCCGGCCCCGGGGTACGGGAAGAGAAGTCTCCTGCCCAGGCAAGACGCCTGGGGACACATGTTGCTGTGGCTCTTGCCACATCGCAGCATTTGGGCAGCTATTTCTGACCCTCCTTTTAATGCCAGACTGGGCTTGGAAACGCTACCTTCAGCTGAGGGCGGGCGCAGGCAGCGGGGCGGGCGCAGGCAGCGGGGCGGGCAGGATCAGCCATGTGCGCGGGTCTGGGGAAGGCAGGACAGCAAGCTGGAGGACGTTAAGGACATTAAGGGCTGCTTGCCTGAGAGGGGCAGAGAGCTGGACCAGCCCTGCCCGCAGCCCAGCGCTGCCCTGGGCTCCTCTCCGCACCCATCCCTGCAAACCTGCGCCCCTCGCTCCGGCCCCCAGCCCGAGCTGGGCTCCCTCCTTCCCGTTTCCCGGCTCCCCGAGGCAGACGTGTTTGTTCTGCAGCTCGTTGTGGTGGCGGGGGGGTCCCTAATTGGGCCCGCAGGGTGGGGAGCCTCATTTCACTGTCTTGTTTCCTTCCAGCCGAGGGACACGACCCTCTCGCATGCACCCGCCAGCGGGGGTCCTGAGGGTCCTGCTGCCCCGGGAGCTCCGCAGGGGAGGCTGGGGTCTCTCTGCTTTACCTTGGCATCCTTTTCACCTCTCCCTGCGAGCCCAGCGGCTGTCCCGGCTCTCCCACCCACCGGGGCAGGCCTCGGGGCAATGCCGGCTGCACAGAGGGGCCCTCTGAGAGCAGGCTGGGGGCTGCACGGCATCCCTCCCCAGGAAGCCCACGTCCTTCCCCAGCCAAGAATTTGTCCCTTAAAGATCTCGGTGCTGCTTTGGGTCCCACATATCCACGGCACATGCAGGGAAGAAGAAAGGTAGAAGCTGGGCTGGGTGTAAGGGTGCCGTATCCCCCCATTGCCAGCATCTCCTCGGGTGCACCCTAAGGTGCCATCAGACCATGTCCCCCGGGAGGTGCTGGGGATGAGAGCAGTGCCCGGCTAATGCTTTAAGAAGCCACACACTTGTCTGTTCAAGCTTGTGAAACCTTCCAGCACCCTCGAACAAAGACTGGCCGATTCTGCATTAACCTGCCTTGAAATCTGCCTCCCACTGCACGGCATGGCACCGCACGGCAAGTGGGGCTCCCTCCCTCAGCGGCTGTGCCGGCTCGGCTCGGAGCTCGGCTCGGAGCTCTGTGCAGCCCATCGGGCAGGTGGCTCGTTGCAGACAGGGTGCTGTCCTCGACGTTAGAGCCAGGCAGCCCGAATAGGCAGCAGCGCAGGCAGCAAGACCCCTGTGCTGGTCCTGCATGGCTCTGCAGCTGGAGGCAGCGCACCGGGGCAGAGGGGAGAGGAGAGCATTGCTGTCCCATCTCACTGTGGGGGACAAGGACCGGGGACCCCTCCGGCTCCAGAGCCTGATGCAGGGACGTGTCTGGGAGTGGGTGCTCCCACCCACAGGGGTGGACGGGGACAGTCTCCCCAGGGAGACCCAGCCCAACCCACGGCCCCAGGGGCTGGGGAAGGGCCCGTGTCCCCGCGGCTCCAGCCTGCAGAGAGTTAAGGCCTGGGCGACGCGCTGGGCACTCCGCTATCTCCAGGTTTTTGAACTTTCCCCAGTGGCACAAGGCAAACAGCGTGGTAGTGCCAAGCAGAGGAGCCAATGGAAGGGATGGGTTTCCCGGGCGTGCGGCCAGATCCTGCCGGTCAAGGCTACCCACACACGCTCCTCACCAGTGCTGCCCGCCCCGACAACCAGCTTAAAGGAGCAGCCCGAGCCTGCGGACCACAGCCCCGCAGCCGCAGACGGCCACCTCGGCCACGCGCGAGGCTGGTGGGGCCACGGCCACGGAGCTGCAGTGGACATGGAGACAGAGGGGAGATGCCTTTGGGCTTCGCCACTAACCGCCTTTTTTCCCCATTAACGATCCTTTCAGTTTTGGGACTTATGAGGCTGATCTTTGCTCCCTGGTTCGTCTTGAAAATGGCCCCACCCTTCCCTGAAATTATCTCCTGGGGAGATGGATGCAAACCCCACGCTGAGCCACAAAAAAGGTTTGGGATGCCCCAAACAGGCTGGAGGTCCCGCTGCCCCACGCTGCTGGAGAAATGGGGAAACAGACCCCACTACCGGCTAAGGGGTCTCTGTGGGATGGGGTAAGGCGGGAGCAGGGCTCGGCCTGGGACCAAACCCGGCGTGGGTCAGCACTGACTGTTTCAGCCAGTCGCACCTTGTTTGCCCTGTGATTAATTTAGCCCATCCAGAAGTTTAAGGTGTTGCAGCCCCTGCTTTCATGGCAAAATGAGTATTTTGCTGTCCATCCACAGCAAAAGGAGGGGGGAGGAATGATCTGGCAAGATGCAGGGCTGCACGAAGAGAAACGGGCAGCAGCAGGAGGGGAACAGCTAAGCTGAGGGTCCTCTGGCAGGTACAAGCCTGCTCGGCCTTCCCAAGTGCAGCAGGAGCAGGATCCCCCGTGGGGCCGTCAGAGCCCCCCTTGCTCCCTGGGCTGCCAGGACGCAGCTTGGCCCTGGACTGGCTGAAAGAGGACAGCCTTTCCTGGAAGTTCTAAAAGCTCACGTTCGCTTTCTCACACATTTTGCTACCAAAGTCATGTTTTTTCTTGAGTTTTTATGTTTTGGGAAAGAAAGTTAAAAATCTAACCACAATTTTCCTGGAAAGTGTCCCCAAGCAAAAACCGACTGTCTTCAAATCTGACTTCAAATCTCTACTATCTGGCTGGGTGTTTTTCTTTACCGTGTTGCGCTGATGAAAAGGCTGCTGCGCCAGCTCGGCTGCTTGCCATGCTGCCTCCGGAGGGAGCGAGCTCTGCCCCGGCAGACGCTGCAGCTGGCGCGGGTGCATCGGGGGTAATTTGAGGGCAGTGCTGCAACAAAGGTGTTAATAGACTGTACTGGGGATTAGCTAGGGACCCACTCTGTGTATTTACCCCCAGATAGGAGTGCCTCTGCCCTTGCAGCTCTGCCTCTTGGACAGCCATTTACCTCCATGCAAAGCGAGCATGAAGTGCTCCAGATGAGAAGGGAAGTCGTTTAAATCTTCTCGCAAATAGTTGTCTGGGAAGCTGGATAGCTGCGAGCCAAGCTGGGTACATCTCCACAACCAGTTATTTTGGTGATCTCCGGAGGTACGACCCTACTGTGCATCAGCGTGGGAGCAGGCTTGCACACCAGCCCAGCTCCTCTGCACACTGCTTGGACAGGATCAGCCCCAAATCCTTGGGAAATGACAGAGAAAAGGCGTGCAGCTCCCTGCCGCTAATGACAGCACGACCACACTGCAGCGCGGATGGGTTTAGACCAAGCACGAGCCTTTCCCTCTCGCCAGACCTGCTATTATAGAATCATAGAATCATAGAATCATTGAGGTTGGAAAAGACCTCTAAGATCACCGAGTCCAACACCACCATGCCCACTAAACCATGTCCCTAAGCGCCTCATCTATTGCCCATCGTGCGGATAATTCATAGCAGAAGCTGCCCAACCTGCCGCAAAGCCCCAAAGGGATCTGCCAAGCCAGGGCTGCCATCGGCACCGAGCTCTGCTCCCCTGGCTGGGGCGCCCCGCTTCCTTCCAGCCAGGGCATGGGCAGCGCCCAGACGGTCTTAGGCCTGGGTGAGGGTGAAGCCTCATCAGATGGCGGGGGTGGACCCAGCAATCGCAGGATGTGGCCACATCGGCGCGAGCCACTTCCAGCGGGTCTGAGCTAGTGCACAGGGCTGCAGGCAAATGCTGGTGAACTGCAGTGAACGGAGGTGAGCTGTTTGCCAGGAGGGCAAAGGAAAGTGCAGGCTAATCCTGAGAGAAGGAAACGGGGAGAGGGCAGCTCAGCGTGTGCATCACTGGGGTCTCCGCCTGGGTGCTTGCTGCCCCTGTGCATGAGTGTTTAAGGCACTGTGAATTAGAGAATCAATTAGAGAGTACGGCAAAGATATAGCAGCAATTCCACTTCTTCTAGGAAAGCCTCAGAGGCTGCTATCAGCTTGCCAGGAGGATGAATTAGTACCGAATCGGCATGCAAGGGTGTAATCGAAGCCTACCTTGTTTTAAATCATGAGAGGGCAGAGTTAATACTCCACATCACTTACTAGTCTGATGTCCCTACCTGCTAAATCTCCCCTCTTGGTATTTGCAGGGGAGAAGAAGAGGTTAATCTACATCACACTCTCGGAACAGCTACAGGAGGCTTCTTCTGAAGCGCAAGATAGAAGCGTGCAAGATAAGACCGTGGGTGTCTGCAGTTTGCAGTTCACATCTGCACCCAGTTTTTCTCCCTTCAGGAGGACAGTTCCCCAGGTCAGTCACTCAATGATCCTCTGCAATGGGTGACAGGAAGGTGTGTGAGCCCAGGAGACCAGCTCTGCAAGGCAGGACACCGGGGAGTGACACTGCGGTGATGGGGAGAAAGCTTGCTCAGCTGGGGAGATCGTGCTAAGGCGATAGCATGAACAGTTCCTGAAGGAGCTCGGCTCCATGTGCTCAGGTTTTTGGGGGAACCTGGGGAGGCCACGTGTGCTGCAGGGAGGTCCACCCACGGGAGAAAAAGCAGTCTAAGTGAGGGATTCAAGAAACGCAGCAGGTTGCAGGAGAAGGAGTGGAAGAGAATCATTAAGTCTTTGGCAGGAATGCTGCTGGAAGGAGAGTAGTGTCCTGGAAAATGGGTACAAAGGGCCTGGGAAGTGCTTCATCCCAACCTCCAGCACCAGGAGGAAGACCTTGGTGGGGGGAGTTGCCTCTCTTTGAGGGATCTGAAGAAACAAGCTACTGCTAGAAGCAAGCCTTGATGTGGAGAGAGCGTTTCTTTCCCAGTGAGGGGGTGATGCACAGTCCAGCCCATGGGGAGATAAAATGGCAGATCCTCAGGGCGATTGCTCAAGCTGAGACAGGACTGCCATAAACGTCTGTGAAGTGCCGCGGAGGAATGCTGGAGAGGGGAGGAATTACAGCTACCTAAATGACTGTTCAGCTACAGCCTTTGGAAAACAAGGGTTTAGAGAGAATTTAGTGTATTTGCCTTTGAAATGGTGTGAGCCAGGCCTCGGACAGCAAGGAATGGGTGGCTGAAACAGTCACAGCTCAGCCAGCAGGTCAAGAGAAGTGATAGTTCCCCTCAACTCAGCACTGGTAAGGCCAAGGCTGGATATTGTGTCCAGATTGGTCCTCCCGATAACAGAGGGAGGTTCACAAAGTGGAGTGATTCTGGAGGATGTTAAGATGGTTGGGGACTAATGTACAGGACAGAAGAGGAGGGTAAGTGATGGGTTTGTTCAGCCTGAAGAAGAGAAGGTGAAGAGAGGATCTACTTACTGTCTTCAACTACCCAAAGCAGGCTATAGAGGAGATGGAGCCAGACACTTCTCAGACACGCACCAAGAAAGGACAAGAGGCAACAGACACAAGCTGAAATGAGGGAAATTCCAATTACAGCCACGGACAGCACTCTTCCCTGTGAGAGTGGTGCAGCTCTGGGACAGGGTGGACAGGTGGTGGGCTCACCATCCTTGGTCTCCATCCATCAGAGTGATGGCCCTGAGCAACCTGATCTGGCTTTGGAGTTAGCCCTGCCCTGCACAGGGATTGGACTATGACCTCCAGAGGTGCCTCCCAACTGATATCTTTCTGTGGTTTCTGCTTTGTTAGGGAGTTAGTCTGCCACATAACTGTGGATGCACTCCTGATGACTGGAGGACATTTGGCTGGCCACTCCAACTGAGGCTGTGCTGCACCAACACCCTTTCTGAGGGACCTGGCTGGGAGGGAAGACGTGAAATGGCAGATGATGCAGAGAAGTATCAAATCAGATAAAACTAAAAGGTGCGCCGGGTATCTTTAAACTCCATTTTCCCCCTCTGATACCTTCCTCCAACTATGGCTTACAAGTCTGTCAAAAATGTATTAGCAAAGCTGCCATGGGTTTCCAAAGGGAGAAAAGAAATGCCTGAACAGCAGCTAGCCAGCAGAGAGGTCAGCTCTAGAGCCAGAGTCCAATCCCACCTGTGGAGAGGCATATCCAGCACTGCATCGCAGGTCCAGGTTCACCTGAACCTGATCTCTGATCAATGCTTGTCATCCTGTTTTTAGGGTGCTGGCAAGCTGCAGAGCATGACAGCTGAGAGGTGAAGGGGGAGAGCATCTAAGGATGGAAGGAACTCCAAGAGTTCCAAGCATGAAGTTTGGAGAACATCCAATGTCAACGTTTCCTTGGTTGGGTCCCACGGCCTGCAGCTACCCTGGCTCCATGGCAGACCAATAACTGCTCCCATGGGTGCTGAGCAAGACCTAGTCTTGCACCAAGGCAGCCAGGAAATATCTTTAGTGATCTGGACTCCGGGGTGACCATCAGTGGTGGCACTAATGCTTTGTAGCTGCTGTGGATCCTCCTCACTGAGGGCTACTGTCCAACTGCAGTTACGGTTTGCCATGGTGCTGGGCTTGGGGCTGGTGTATGCATTGTCATGCTCAGTGCAGGAGGGAAACAAGGCCCTGAAAGAGTCCAAGTGGTAAAGAGATCTGGAGTGATGGAGCCCTGTCTGCAGTGTAATGGCCAGCCCTGGGTGGCATACAGCTGCTGTGGTCCGCTCCACCTGCCAAAGCACTTGCACCCTGCCCCTTTCCCCTCTGCCTGGGGAGCACCAGAGCTCAGGACCACATGGAGGCTGTGGTGCATCTCAGGAGTCAAGAGCTTGAGCACCCTGGGGTGGAGCAGTGTCCGCTCCTCCAGCCCCAAGCTGCAAGGATCAGAGTACGGCAAGTATGGGGCTGGGAGAGCAAAAGAGAGTGAGGCCACCAGTGCTTCAGTGTCCCCTGTGCATGGCACTCAGGGGTGACTTGCCTGACCAGGAAGCATGACCCTCCGCTGGGTCACCCCACGCTGAAGCTCACCGTGCTCCCGCAGAGCACCAGCTTCACCAGCACCTCGGAGGAGAGCTGTTCCACACCGGCTGTGAGCAAACCATGCAATCTGGGATGTGGCGATGGGCCAAATGTACATAGCTATGTGGCAACTAGTACCCTTGGAGTGCTGTCCCAGTGCCCGGTGTCACCAGGGCTGCTCTGGCAGCAACCACATATTCCATCGTGTTGAGCATTCAAGGACTTCAAGGCTGAGAGGTCAGCAACTGAATAAGAGCCTGCGTGGAACAAGGCAATGTTCAACTCTTCAAGGCTGTTTTGCTGAGGTTTTGTTTTTATGCGGCATCAGTAGGACATCATCATTCCAGGTTTTCACCTGGAGATTTTGGGAAAGCTATGCAAGCAGTTTTGCACTGACGCTAGTAGAGCAATTCACCCTGATGCCATGCTTGAGAGAACTCAAAACCTCAGGGCCTTGGCAAAAGAGAGGAGCTGCCTCCAAGAATGTGGACCAAGGTGCTAAGAGACATGATGCAGGCTCTCCTGTTGTCACCGAGAAGCTGTGGGATGAGCAGGTCCCTAGCATCCTGAGCTTGGGTGATTTGTGTCGTTGGGGGGAACAATGCAGTCACCCATTTGATTTTGCAGGAGAGAAGGGGGGAAGCTTTCAGGAGGCCCTGGACAAAGCCCTGTGCAGCCATCCAGTCCTGAGTGCTGCTGCATGTCCTGCAATAACCTTGGGACATGTGGGCAGAGTCAAGGACGGGAAGGCAGGACTCCAGCTCTGGGCTGGATTGCCAAAGACTGAGCGTTGGCTGCCCACAGGGTTATTGCTGCTCTACAGAGTGTGCAGGACCCGGCCGTGAGGGTGCTACAGCCGGGTGCAGTGACTCCAGATCTCATGGGAAGGTGGAGGAGGGTTAAGCTACACATGAAGAGAGGAGGAACTTCTTATCTGGCTCCATGGCCAACAACCCAGAACCAGCTTTTTCTCCCTGAAACCTCCCAGGATGGTGGTTTTTGAGCAGATGGCACATCACAACCCAATGGACAAGAAGACAAGGACGCTATCAGTTGGCAATTAGCGGCAGGTTCCTGGAAGAGCAGTGGGGCTTAGACAGCCTCATGCCTTCAAAGAGCTGGGGGGGTTCCATGAGATGCATGCCAGCGAGCGGGATCTTGTACTTACCTGTACTCCAGGCTCATGCACTCAAAAAGCCGGGTGAGGGTCGGGTCAATGCTCCGGGGATCAGCCGGTTCGGGTTCGGTGCGGTGGTGGCGCCGGCGGGGCAGCGAGTCACTGTGTGGGGATGACACCATGAAGTGGCCACTGTGGATGACCTGGGGGAGGTTCTGCGCCCCGGTGCCAGGTCCTGTGCCAGCCACAGCTGCATCCTCGGAGTCGGAGTCGGAGTCAGAGACGGGGCATGGCCCAACCGGGGGCTCTGGGAAGGGTCCTGGGAGCCCCACCTGAGCTCCTGCCATTGCCTGGTGCCTGCTGGGGAGCCCTTATTGGCCTGCCCCAGCGCTGTGGTCCACGACCTGGTTGTGCCAGAGCCCTACGGGCGCTGTGTTGGCATCGAGCACATGCCGTTGGGCTCCTCAGCACAGGACACCCACGCCACACCTCCTTGGTGCCGCTCGCCCCACTCCAGACCACGCCGTCTCCTCCGCGCTCCGAGGTTCAGCTTTCGGTTTGCCGAGGTGGCTTGCCGTCAGCCCTATTTATAGTGGTGGCAGCTGATCCCGCCCATGGCGCACCGTCAGCCAGGCCACAGCACCCTGCGATCGGCCACTGGCCACCGGCCACCGGCCACGGGAGCTTCAGCTCTGCGCCGCCGTCCTGCTCTTGCAACGCGCCTGACGGCCCTGGCTTTTATTTCCCCTGCAAACCCGGGGAGGAGCGGCTGCGGGTCCCCTGTCCCCCCCTCACCGGCAGCCACGGGTTCGCTGGCAGTCGGCTCTGTTTACCCGGGGTTAATCGCTGCTCCAGGCGCCCCGTCGGGGAGAGGAGCGGGCGGTATTTACCTAGTGCCTCTGCCCTAATGTATCTCCCTGTACTTCCAAGGGAACAAATACAGATTAAGAGACACAAACAGGTAAAATTATAGCAACGGGCACCCAGCTCAGCACAAAGCATGCCGAGTCACTGAGCCGTGGGCCAAGCTGAGAAACAGCCCAGGCAAAAGCCTGCTCCGAGGTGTGACCCAGCAGGAGAGGGGATGCAAACGCCGAATGCAAGAGAGGACAATGATGAGCTCAGGTACGGTGGGATTTACACACCTTGTAGTCATGCAGTCCTTAAGATGGATTACCTTCGCCTCCGAGGTGCCCTGAGAGATGCGGGCAGGCAGGGCTCGCTGCGCCAGCCCCCTCCCCTGCTCCGTGCCAGCTGATCTTTGATAAATACTGAGAGCTCTTGCCAGGGCTTAGCATGTGCCATGCCAGCCAGACCTGTGTCACAAGCATCTCCTCACTGACCAGAGCCGCAGGGGGACAAAGTGAATATAATTTCAGGCTTAAATCACTTATTTTCTCTCTAGTTTCTGGCAACTTCTTCCCCAGCTCCACAACCTGGCACAAGCACACATGCCTGGAGAGCACCCAGGCGCAGCTTTTAGGCACCTCTGATGAAAACATGGGATGAACAGTGGCATACAGCTAACATAGATGGCCGCAGGCATCTGAACTTCAATCCAGCTTGCAGGTGGAGCAGAGCACCCTCTGTACCACACAGGTGGGTCCTGCTGGTGCTCCAGAGGAGTGAGCAGCCATCCAGGGTATTTTTCAGAGCTGGAAGAAGAATATGCACAAGTAGCTGTTTTGGATAGTTTTCACACTGATTGGTGCAAACCTCACTTAGGAACCATTTGTTCGTTTTTCAGCCAGATTTGCATTGCTCTGTAGCTCTCTTTTCCCCCTCTGTGATTCATTACAACCATGTCAGCCTGTCCCAAGCTGCCTGTCAAGATGCTGAAGAGAGAAGTAATTTTAAAAGTACTGTCTACAGACATTTTAAAGCAATAATGGGCATGTGGGTGTCCTGGGAAACTAGGAATTAGTCAAGCCACAACAGAAACAAAGATATCAGAGATACACAGGCGTTCTGGGAGCGCTCCTCTGTGCAGGGCCGTGCTGCGCAAAAGGGACTTTCCAGGTTTTTGCCCAGGATCATCTGCCATCTGTTCACCGGCTGCAGGCAGACTTCGGTCCTCTGAGACAACGTATGTCTGAAGGAAGCGGAGAAATACATCAGTGAGGCTTTTAGGGACATCATAACTCCCTCATCCCCAGTCCAGCAGCTCTTGTGCTGCAGAGGAGGGAAATGGGCAAGTGGCACGCAGCCTGGGGAAGGGGGTGACGGATCCCGCAGAGGAACCTTCCCCAGCAGACAGTGGAACAGAGCAGGGGTCCCACACAGGAACAGGCAGGCTGCAGTGCTGAGGGATTTTGTAACTGGCTGTTTGGCTCCTAAAATGTGCGATGGCAGCTACAGTCATACAGATGCAACACAGTCTCGGAGCGGGTGCGGCACGGGAGGTGTGGTCCTGAGTGCAACGCAAGATGGATGTCTCAAATATGTCCCAAAACGTACACTGTGACATGGGAGGTTAGAGATCAGAGTCCCCAGAGCAGTTCTCCAAAATGATCCCAACACCATGCACACAGGCAGGGAGAAACAGCCTCTGTGTCTGGGAGGAGAATGGTGTTGGGACAGAGAGGTCGGAATTATTAGTAGCTGAAGAAACTGGGAGTCGATGGGATCTGCACAAGCACAGAAATCTCCATTTGACCCAGAGAGAGCCAGGACACTGGCATGTGCAGTCACAACAGTGATGGATGGGGATGGGTTGGACTCAAACCCAAAGGGTATTCAACAGATGCAGAGGAGCACACAGCTCCCAGCTGAGTCCCTCAAGATGGGGATCCTTTGAAGTCCTAAAAATTCAAAATCCTATAAAAAATGACTAGGACTGAAACTGCTAGCATTGCTACCAGGAATAAGGTAGAAAGGAGAAATAGATATTGTGAAAGCTTTATTATCAACCAAGCAGCAAAGCTGGTGGCCTGAATATGTCATGTTCAGGGAGACCAGAGAAACTCTATGGGTAGAAACAGTGGGAAACATCCAATGAGAGCTTGCTAAAAGGAGGTTAAAAGGAGCAGGCAAAAGGGTAAAATGTAGGGAGAGCATTTACAGACACTGGTGAAGGTTTGGAATAAATATAGTCGACTTAACCACAGCCAGATATCGAGAGTGCCAAAAGAGCCAGCAGAGACACCAGCCAGAGGAGGGGAGACTATTGGATGCCATTCAGAAGGTGGAAATCACCTTCAAAGAACAAGAAAAATAGAAAGCATTATGAATTTCAGCAAGTGGAATGTAAAACCACAAAAGGCAGGCCAAAAATAATTTTACTGAACAATTTGAGAAAGACAAAAACTAATATTAAAACCTTGTTCACAGCTATCAGGAGTGGAAAGTCGGCCAGAGCATCTGTAGGCTCTGTAGAAGATGCACCAGGGATGCTGAGGGCAGGGAGGGCAGAGGGAGGAGCACTACATGACTTCAGCGCGGTGCTGGCGGGGGGGGGGGGGGGCCCTGCCATGCTGAGCCTGCCGTGCCACGGGAGCAACGGTGCAGAAGGTTTCCACCTCCAAACCCTTGTGGGGTTGGTGGCAGAAATTAAAATTGAGAAGTCAGTGCAAAGAATCATAGAATCATAGAATCATAGAATCATAGAATCATAGAATCATAGAATCACTAAGGTTGGAAAAGACCTCTAAGATCATCGAGTCCAACCAGCAACCCAACACCACCAGGCCCACTAAACCATGTCCCTAAGTGCCACATCTACACGTCTTTTAAATACTTCCAGGGATGGGGACTCCACCACTTCCCTGGGCAGCCTGTTCCAATGTTTCACCACTCTTTCAGTGAAGAAATTTTTCCTCACGTCCAATCTAAACCTCCCCTGGCACAACTTGAGGCCGTTTCCTCTCGTCCTATCGCTTGTTACTTGGGAGAAGAGACCGACCCCCACCTCGCTACAACCTCCTGTCAGGTAGTTGTAGAGAGCGATGAGGTCTCCCCTGAGCCTCCTTTTCTCCAGGCTGAACAACCCCAGTTCCCTCAGCCGCTCCTCATCAGACTTGTTCTCCAGACCCCTCACCAGCCTCGTTGCCCTTCTCTGGACATGCTCCAGCACCTCAACGTCCTTCTTGTAGTGAGGGGCCCAAAACTGAACACAGTATTCGAGGTGCGGCCTCACCAGTGCCGAGTACAGGGCCACGATCACTTCCCTATAGAAGTCGCAGACCTCATGCATCTCATGTCCATTTCTGATCTGCCGACAGTGGGCTGCGTCCTGTTACTTGCCTACCAAGGGAATGGAGGTGGCACAGATAGTGTCATTTTTGAAAGGCTCAGTCACTCACCTAAGGATCTCCAGAGTTAAAGGTCTCATTTGTGCACCTAGCGAAGTGGTAGAAATTGTAATAAACATGGAGTTCGTGGGAACTCATGGATAAATACAATAACTTGAGGAAGAGTCAATATAGCTTTTTAGAGGAAAGTCGTGGCTCAGAAACCTGTTACAGTTGTTGGAAGGAGAGGCGGTGTATGTGGACACAACAGCAATCCGATCAATATAATGTAATCCAAAAAGCCTTTATAAAGATCTATCATAGAGTTTTCAAAGACACTGAGCTATAACAGATCAATAGCTTGCAAAGCTGGGAAGCAAAGATAAAACTAGTTGGTAAATTTTCACAAAATTTTTCACAAAAGAGATTGTCTATTGGATGCTACAAGCACTGGGGCTGGATTTTTCAGCATATTCATAAGTGATGGAGAAAAGGCAGTAAATAGCACAGTGACAACATTTTCTGGTGGAGAAAATAGTTCAGAACAGTCATATCTAAAGGTGGCTGGAGAAAGCTGCAGAAGGATTTCAGGCTGCAGAGTGAGTGGGTGATAAAACGGCAAATGAAATTCAATGTTGATAAGGATAAAGTGAAGTACATCCCTAACTGCATGCAGTGGTGGACTCTAAACCAGCTATTACCGTTCAAGAGGCTGATCTGAGGGTAATTGTAGGCAATTCTCTGAAAACATCAGCTGAAGGTTCAGAATCAATTAAAAAGTAAAAAGGCTTTAGAAATGGCAAGGAAAGGAATTTGCTTTCAGCAGAAAACATCACTTGCCGCTGTATAAACCAGAGGGTGCTCACAGCTGTGTGCCTGGCTCAGAAAAGATGCGGAAGAACTGGAAAAGGTCACAGAGATGAGGAAACTGGGTGATCAGAGGTGGGAATGGCATCCCTGCAAGAAAAGGCTGAATAGATCAGGACTGCCCATGTTAGAAAAGAGATGAATGAGGTGTAAGTGCTGGGGACGCAGACACTGACGCAGTGGAACAGAGAGCGGTTAGAGAATGGTCATTCAGCACTTTTCACAACACAAGAGCTAGGGGCACCTGGCAA